AGGTCTAAATGCTACCTTTTAGGTGAGGCCTATCCTGACCAACCTATATAAATTACAACCTACAACCTTCCCAGCAATCCTGACCCCTTTTTCCTTGCTCTATTTTTTCCATAGTAGTTACCAATTTTTAACATATAATGTATTTATTTGTGAGATAAGTTTAATGAGGGCAGGGATCTTCTTATTGTTTACTGAAGCATACTAAGTGCTTACCTAGGTCAGTAATAGGCATATAGTTGGTATTCAATAAACATGTTGAATGAATGAAAATGAAAAGTACTATGGAAAATAATTAAGAAGGGCGTACTAGTTTCCTATGGCTGTTGTTAAAAATTACCAAAACCTTGATGGCTTAAGACAACAGAAATTTATTCTCTCACAGTTCTGGAGGCCAGAAGTTCCACATCAAGGTGTCGGCAGGACTGTGCTCCTTTTGAAGGCTCTAGGGAAGAATCTATTCCTTGCCTCTTCCAACTTCTGGTGGCTCTAAGCATTTTTTAGCTTATGGCCCACATCAGTCTCTGCCTCTGTGGTCACATTGCCTTCTCTTCTCTCTCAAAATTCCCTCTGCCTGTCTTATGAAGATACATGTAATTGTATTCAGGGCCCTTCCAGATAATCCAGGATAAGCACCTCCTCTCAAGATCCTTAATCACACCTTTTGTCATGTAAGATAATATTCACTCTTTTGCCATGTAAACTAATATTCACAGATTCTGGGAATTAGTACGTGAACATACCTTTTGGGGGGCCGCCATTCAGCCCACTACAGATCCTTGAGTTACAGGGGGAAGAATCATCTCTGATGCACCACGTAGTATAACACAAGGATACAAGGAAAGCCAGGAGACGGCAGTCATCCATTTCCCCCCTTATTACTGAAATTTTCATTGAGATTACATTATTTTTTTCCAATTAAGCACACACACAGAAGAGCACAAAGAATAATATTACAATTTCCACGCGCTGGTCTTGGCCTCCCCAGTTGTTAACATACTGACATAGTTCCTCCATATCTTCCATTCTTTTCTTTTTCTTCCATTCTTATTATAAGTAAATCGCATCACAGCTAAATTCCAAACCCCCTATGCTCCCATTCCTGTTTCCATTTCCCTCCCTGCTCATCTAGAGGCCGTCACTGTCATTGATTTGGCATATGCCCAATGCATAGTGTGTAGCTTTACTGCACATATAACTCTTCATACATAATATACGGAGTTGTTGTGTGTGTTTATCTTAAAAATGTTTTTCATACATGGCATTATAGTGTATGTAATATTCTGCAGCTGGCTTTTTTTTTTAATCAATCCAGGTTGATAGGTACAAATCTAGTTCAGTCATTTTTTTTCTGGTACGCGGGCCTCTCACTGTTGTGGCCTCTCCCGTTGCGGAGCACAGGCTCTGGATGCGCAGGCTCAGCGGCCATGGCTCATGGGCCCAGCCGCTCCGCGGCATGTGGGATCTTCCCGGACCGGGGCACAAACCCGTGTCCCCTGCATCGGCAGGCGGACTCTCAGCCACTGCGCCACCGGGGAAGCCCTAGTTCAGTCATTTTAACTGCAGCTCTAAGTGGCAGGTTCTCTCTCTTTCCTGGCTTTAGAATGTATATCCCAGAGAAGGCCTTTGATTAGCCTAGCCTGGGTCACATGCCAGTACCCGTTGGATCAATTTGTGGGTTCAGCACTGGGGGGCTTTGATTGCTCGAGCTGGGAATACATGCCTGCTGCTGTAGCCATAGGGTCAGCCTACTCTGCCACTCTCATCAGAATCACATGCATTTGAAGGATTGTTATAGAAAGAAGTGGAAAAGGATTTGGGGCCGACAGAAACACAGATTGCCACTTGAGTTTCAGCCCTGAGCTTGGACATCAGGTCCTCTGGGAAGCCTTCCCTGACTCCTTAGATTGTGCTCTGTGCCCTTGCACTTAGTATATTGTCAAGTAGTATATTAATTCACCTCTCCTTGAGGTGCAGTCCTTTAGGGCAGACTGTGTCTGTCTTGTTTCACTCCTGTACCTCAGGAAATGGAAGGTCTGACACACCATTCCCTCCTCACCACATATTTTTGCCTGAATGATTCCACCGAGTGTAACTTACAACCTCACTTCCTGTGAATGGGTTCCTGCCAGGGAATCTTGTGTGGCTGTGACATGTTTGCACCTACCTTTCTGCCCATTAAATTCTGGCTTTTTTTCACATCATTTGGTTTGTGTGGGTGACTTGGCCTGTTTTGGATTTGCTTTTTCTTATTTAATAGTGAAAATTCAAGGAAAGATGAAATTGCTAAAATCCAAACTCAGACTTCCTTTGCAAAATCTTTAGAGTTGAGCCCTGCCAGGCCTTTTTCATCCCACTTTCCCCTCAGCTTTCATGTGTGCACAGCAATTTCTTTCTAACCTCAGACATGCCATCAGCAGAATGTGTTTTATGCAAAGTTACTTCTGAATACCTTCTTTAGCATCAGGAGAATGTGGATTCCAATGGGTATAAGATGTATTTGGAAGTAGCCGTAGCAATCATAAATGGTCATAGCAGTCACAAATTATTGAGTGCTGTTTCTGACCAGGCATGTGGGGAAGCCCTAGTTCAGTCATTTTAACTGCAGCTCTAAGTGGCAGGTTCTCTCTCTTTCCTGGCTTTAGAATGTATATCCCAGAGAAGGCCTTTGATTAGCCTAGCCTGGGTCACATGCCAGTACCCGTTGGATCAATTTGTGGGTTCAGCACTGGGGGGCTTTGATTGCTCGAGCTGGGAATACATGCCTGCTGCTGTAGCCATAGGGTCAGCCTACTCTGCCACTCTCATCAGAATCACATGCATTTGAAGGATTGTTATAGAAAGAAGTGGAAAAGGATTTGGGGCCGACAGAAACACAGATTGCCACTTGAGTTTCAGCCCTGAGCTTGGACATCAGGTCCTCTGGGAAGCCTTCCCTGACTCCTTAGATTGTGCTCTGTGCCCTTGCACTTAGTATATTGTCAAGTAGTATATTAATTCACCTCTCCTTGAGGTGCAGTCCTTTAGGGCAGACTGTGTCTGTCTTGTTTCACTCCTGTACCTCAGGAAATGGAAGGTCTGACACACCATTCCCTCCTCACCACATATTTTTGCCTGAATGATTCCACCGAGTGTAACTTACAACCTCACTTCCTGTGAATGGGTTCCTGCCAGGGAATCTTGTGTGGCTGTGACATGTTTGCACCTACCTTTCTGCCCATTAAATTCTGGCTTTTTTTCACATCATTTGGTTTGTGTGGGTGACTTGGCCTGTTTTGGATTTGCTTTTTCTTATTTAATAGTGAAAATTCAAGGAAAGATGAAATTGCTAAAATCCAAACTCAGACTTCCTTTGCAAAATCTTTAGAGTTGAGCCCTGCCAGGCCTTTTTCATCCCACTTTCCCCTCAGCTTTCATGTGTGCACAGCAATTTCTTTCTAACCTCAGACATGCCATCAGCAGAATGTGTTTTATGCAAAGTTACTTCTGAATACCTTCTTTAGCATCAGGAGAATGTGGATTCCAATGGGTATAAGATGTATTTGGAAGTAGCCGTAGCAATCATAAATGGTCATAGCAGTCACAAATTATTGAGTGCTGTTTCTGACCAGGCATGTAGATGGAGGTGTCATCTTTATGCCTGTTATACAGGTGAGAAAATGGGAGCTTGGAGAGCTCAGTGATGCACTCAAGTTCTCTCAGCTCCTGAGTGGTAGAGCCGGGATGCGAATCCACACACTGACACCAGAGCCACGCTCCTAAGGACCATGTTCTGCTGCTTTTTATAATCATGAAAGAGTAAAGCTGGGGTTTGAAATGTTAAAATAGATAGCTAGTGGGAAGCAGCTGCATGACACAGGGAGATCAGCTTTTTGACCACCTAGAGGGGTGGGATAAGGAGCGTGGGAGGGAGGGAGACGCAAGAGGGAGGAGATATGGGGATATGTGTATATGTACAGCTGATTCACTTTGTTATACAGAAGAAACTAACACACCATTGTAAAGCAATTATACTCCAAAAAAGATGTTTAAAAAAAAAAAAAAGCTGGTCAGCTGGGGTTTGGTAATAGAAAAGGACATTGAACAGATCACAAATAAGGAATGGAGTTTTTGCCATAAAGCTTTAATAAAGAGAAAAAGCATGAGGAGGAATCAACCCAGATCTTAGAACAATAACCCCACAGCCTCTGTGAGGGAAGAAGGAGCCAAGGTGTGTGTACGTGGGCCTGAAGCCATGTGCCACGGCGTAAACTGGCGCCACAGTCCCTGGAATGTGGGAGAGAGAATACACGCTGCCCAATGCTTTTTCTGCTTCCAGCATGCCCTGTAGCCCTGGGACTCTGGCTATCACAGCAGCCATTTAACTGGGAAAACTTTGAATAGGTGGATAAACATTTAGACGTAAAACAAATTTCACTTAGAATACCTATGTGAAGCAAAATGGAAACTGTGGGAGAGGCAACGCGAGAAGTTCACAGCAGGCAAGCAGTGGAATCTGATTATATGCTACCACTATTATTAAAGATACGTACAAGGCCACCGATCCTGCGTTTCTTAGTGCTGTTTTAAATCAGTATATACAAGGGCTTTCGCAGGTTCTGTGTAGATCTCAGTGTCTGTCTCCCAACCCTGTATTTACTCTAAAGTCTTGTATTATTTAGCTCTGAATTCTGTTACCATGAATGTTTTCAGGAACATAACCCCTACAGTTGGAGGAGATTACTGATATCACTAAACTTGATAGGATAATCTGTGCTCTTTGTAACCTGTCTCCTATGCTAGGTTACTGTAAGTACCTTCCACGGAGGGACACTGTATCCTGCCTTTGTAATACTTTGCTCAGTTCTATCTAAGTAAATACTCTTGGTTTATATTTGAATAATGGTGCTAATTGCATAGCAGGTCTGTGTTCCCAAATGGGGTTATCTTGTTTCTGTCCGTGGCAAACAGTTATGGGATAAAGGATGGTATGAAAATTGAGTTGTGTTTTTATCGCTTTCTAGGTTGCATCACAGCGTATTAGCTCAGTGGACCTCTCATGTTGTAGCCTGGAGCATCTGCCTGCCAACCTCTTCTACAGCCAAGACCTCACTCATCTCAATTTAAAACAAAACTTCCTAAGGCAGAGTCCCAGTCTGCCAACTGCAAGGGGGCTCAATGAACTGCAAAGGTGAGCATGCAGAAATGAGTAGATAATTAGGGAGGGGAGGGGGTGTCAGCTTCTGGTTGTTTCTTGAATATTCTGACTAAAAAGCTACAGTTAGTAACCTTTCTCTTTCAGAGGGCAGGGTAATAGGACTTTAGTAGTGAAGACATTTTCAGTTCTCATTCTGAAATTTTTTTCAAGGTCTCTGCCTTTGAAGTGAATGATTTATGATAGTCATTACCTGGATAGATTTGTATAAGAAGAACACTTCTCTTTAAATCACTTGTATTTCTTAACCTGTCTACAGATGGGTCTGTGAAAAGTTTATATTTGCTGTGTTACTTCTGAACTCTAGGGGTTTGGTCAGATTAATTACTTCTTTCAAAATTTACAAAAGGTCAGTTTTTTCCATGAAAAGATATTTCCTTAGAAATTTAAGAACGAAAGTTTAAATTCATTAATACCACATCATCTGGGTGATAACTGTATAGGTTTCAAGAGTCGCATGTGAAATGAAAAGGGTCTGCTCCTCTAGTTAGAGGGAAGGGGCTTTATTTGCATTTATCTGAAACAGATTTAAGAATTTACCATATTCATTTCGTTTTCTTTTTTGGAGCAATGATCAGTCTTGATTCTGTGGTAAATGAAACCTCTGATATATATATTTGTTGCAAATATTGTGAGACTATAACTACAGAAGGATATAACTTTAAAATAAATAATGGATAGTTCATTTGTTCTTAAATGATTGATAATGATCAGAGATTAAACTATGGAAATTAACCATTACGATTATGTGTTTATGGTTTTTTAACATCCAGAAAGAATAATCCAATAAGTATTTATATAAAGTTTGAGCAGACATGTAGAATAAAGGAAGAGTATTTTAATTTTCTTTTCAGATGATTGTGAATATTCTTCTTTGATATTATACCAAAACTTGACAAGTGGTAATTTCTTAAATGTTGGTTTCAGTGTGGAATGTAAAATCCTATCAGTGGACTTTTAAAATTCTTTTACATTAGGATCCATTGATCTTTCTCGTACTTTGAATGGATCTTTGCCCATACATCCTTTTATTGCATTAAGAAAATACTGATTTGTTGGATAACAAATGAGATTTGGAATTGGAAAATTCCAAGGTTTGGAAAATTTGGAATCTTGGAAAATTCCAAGATTTGGAATTTTGAGATTTGGAAAATAATGATTTGTTGGATAACAAATACTCAAAAGAAAATACTGATGTGTTGGATAACAATGAGATTCCAGATGTTAATGTATTTCATTATGCAGTTTCAAGAAGTGACAGTTGTTAATATCACCACTGATCCCATCAGAAAAATCTTTAAGTATTGGGAAGTTGTCAGGCTCAGTGTGGAAACAAGTTTTCCAAAATCTTAAATTTCAGTTGAAAGCTTGAAGGCTACCCTTGGCAACAAATACTGTCAGTTGTTTTTCCTGAAGTGACCTTCTCACTTCATTGTAGAGAAAACGTCTGCCAAGTACCCAAGTCTGAATACTGAGTTTGTCAGTTGTTCTTTCAGGTAAAAGTGATATTCCATGAACATTGTGACTAGTTTGGCTGACAACTCAAATAATCGTACAAGGGTTTTCCTTGGGATAACCATCATAATTTATACAGCAGAAGTGCTTTATGTGTACTTCCCATTTTATCACCCAGAAAATAAAAAAGATACGTATTCAGCGGTTGAAATGTAATACAAATAACTTTCTTGCATCATCAAGGACATTTTTAAGTAAAATTGGCATTATGCAATATTTTTTGAATTTTATTTTATTTATTTTTTTATACAGCAGGTTCTTATTAGTCATCCATTTTATACGCATCAGTGTATACATGTCAATCCCAATCTCCCAGTTCATCCCACCACCACCCGCACCC